GAATGCCACAAATTCTCCTAAATCACTCGTACGCACAACTTAAGAACAAATCTGTGCGTACGAACGGTTCTTGCATGAGGCCCATTGATCCTAATTTTATGTTATACAAACTTAAATGAAAGTTTATAGAAATAAGCCTTTTTTTCAGTTTATAGATGTTTTAAACCACTTTGATTTTGACCCGACTCAGACTAGTCATTGGCTCGTCAGTCCTCAGATCCTTTTTGTTGAAAAAGCTGTCCACAACAGGGTTCAACAAAACTCTACTTCATTAGAGCTGAACTGCTCTGGTTTCCCTTTATCGATTATAGTTCTCTTGCATTTTGTTTGTTCTGGCCCTTATCTATGCAAAAGAAGAAATCCAGACTATTCTCAGATTCCTATTTCCCATCAGTTTGAGGGCAACAAAAGGTCGAATCTAAATAGCTTGTTAGTCACACAAGTTTAAAAAAAATCCTCACAGGTTCAGCCTGAACTGCCTGTTTTTTTGTCTGCTGGAGTTTCTTCCGAAAGAACGTCCAGGGGTCAAACATGATCATTTGTGCTCATTTGTGCTTTTTCTTTTTTTCTTTAACCCAAGCCATTGATGAAAATGGTGTGGGCGGGGGTGGGGGTGATCCCCGGAGGCGCATCTCTGCTCGTCTGGTTGACAGACAAACGATTGTGAAATCCGAACAAACATTTCACAATAAAATACRTCTGGAATTAAACGGCAACCAGAAGCAAGTAAAGAACGAAACAGAAAAACGACACAAAGCGTATTAAACGTTGAATTGTGTTTTTTGTCCCAGGTTGATACAGCCAAGGTAGGTTCATGTCTGATATCAGTTTGTGAGCTTTGTGTTGGTCTGAACTGAAGTGTCGATGAAAGAGGTCCTTGTAGGCTGTGAAAATCCTGAACTGAAGGTCAGCAGCAAAGCGCCGCATAACTCTTGACTCAGGTTTCACAGCTGACAGGAAGTACGGCAGAACGAAGGAGGAAGAAGGTCAGGTTTTTATGTAAAATATGATCAAGTAAAACTTCTTTTTTTATACGTTTCTGTCATTTCAGCTCAGGTTCCTGACAGTGACGAGCAGTTTGTTCCTGATTTTCATTCAGAAAACTGTGAGTACTTTCATTTTCTCTATGAGTGAATATGATGTGTTTGTCACAAAACATACCTCTGGTCACACGGGGAGATCATAAAAATATGTCAATTCATGTTGACATGATGACGTTCACAAACAAAAGCCTTAAAGTTCCTGTGCCGTGCATGTCCTTCAAATGCAAAAAGTCAAAGAAAACCTCTTTATATTTAAAAAAATGTGTCACGATAAACAAGATTTTACCCATTTTGTCACATAACTGGTATATTTTCTTTTGAACTTGGCTCAGCCAAAYGAAACAGGAAGTGACATCACAGGAGAACTCTAAATTAAAGAAAACTCTCTAGTCTTTTTTTATTGAAACAATATTAAACTCTGACTCTTCTTCATCTCTCCGATAGTGACTCAAAATCTAAAGAAACATCAGCTTCTTCTCTACAGTCCGTGTTCAGCCATTGTAGCACGGCTCTGTTCACATGCAGACATTCCCCTTTGACATCACTTCCTGTTGCATTAAGTGCAAATATCTCAACAACTGTTCATCTCAGTGGCGTGAAAATTTATTTGCAATAAGCTATATGTCTTATCTTTCCAAAATGCATTCAGATTTATGATAAAAATTGGATGTTATAGGAACTTTAAAGACATTAAAATGTGTTGTTTTAAATTTTATCAATGTAWAATGTTTGATCTAGTTGTTTTTTAATTTCCATTTCAGTTTGTTGAGTTTGAATGGCCTCTTCAAGGGGATGTTGGTGAAAAAAAAACATTTAAAATGAGTTTCTTCTGTTCACAAGTCCATCTTCTAATGGTTCTGTATGTCTGTTTAGTGTTGTTTATGCTAGCGTGTTGCTTTCATGGGGCTAATCTCAGACGAATGCAGAATAACCTGAGGTGTGGRATGTTTTCTCTTGTCTCGCTGTCAGCATCATTGCTCTGTTGTAGAAACGTCTTCAGCTTTTCCATCTTTTGAAATGAAGCTTTCTGTGGTTTCAGTTTAAACAAAGCTCAGTCGCCTCTGGCCGTGCGCCTCCAGCTAAAATCTGCATATCGTGAAAAGGAGGTTAAAAAGCTGCGGTCAGTTTCGGGCTGTGAAGTYTGCAGAGGCCTGGGAGGAGATGCTGATGCTACGGCAGCCTCTCTGGAAGAACCAGGAGGCCTAATGACCCAGTCATTGAGTGAATCTGGATCCCAGTGAAATGTGCTGTCGTCATTCATTTGCATGCCTTTGAAAAGCTGAATAGGTACAGCCCAGGAAACCAGTACAAAATTATTCAGGGCCCAGGTACAAAGAGGACCCTTTGTGCACATCGGAAGGTGTAAAATAGAAAAGCAAATTCCTGGGCTGCACAACTGAGCTGTGATTTGAATGGGCTTCCCTCTCTTGTTGTGTGTTTTTAACAATGGCGATTCAGGATCTGGGTGGGAGGACGAATCTCTCGCTCGACAAACACCCCCCCCCCCCCAACTTTTTGTGTTTCCATTCTACACTTCGCAGTCCTCGCCATCCTTAGCTTGGTTAGCAAAGAGAACTTGAAGAGTAATCCCTCCTCCTAAGTGAAAACTGGCAGCCTTCGGGTGCCACTCCAAGCCACTTCCTCCGAAAAAAGGCTGTGTGCGTCTTTTGTGTTCAAACATCGTGTGATTTAACAACCTCTGGGTCACAACTGCTCAGCCCCTCGGTGTCACATGTCCCGGGCAACATTGTGGCCGATTGTTGGCCAACAATGTGGAAAAGGAAGTGCGGCTGAACCTCGGGGCACGCAGGGGTCATGTCGACTTAACCCGCTGGCCTCGACACCCAATCAGCTGTCAGGCCTTTGCTAACGGGTGACCTGGGTGTGATTTGCAGGGTCACGGACGCTTCAGTGTGATGGGCAGCTCCCTTACACGTAGCAGAGACGCTCTCTCTCTCATCGAAAGTTTCCCTGCCGATCACCGTGGGTTATACGGTTTGAAAGTTTGATTGATGGGTGAATGTTTGTCTCGGAACATTCTTGTTTTGTCTGCCGAGCTGATCCTTTCCCATACTTGTGTGAAAGGCATTCCTACTGTCTGCTAAACGCATAATAACAGGTGACTCACCTGTTTTGGAAAGTATACAACGCACGCTGACAAAAGCGGCAAAGCGAAGCCTTTATCCCCCCCCCCGGTGACCGGAGCATGCGGGTAATTGAAGCTGGCGTTGAAAAGCCCTGGTAAATTTAAATGTTGTTTACCGAGTCAGGTTGTTACCTGCATGGGTGTGGTGCCCGTTAAACGGGGAGAAGAAAGCGGCAAAAAAACACATGTCGGAAAGCTAGATTAGAGAAGGTGGAGGGGGCAAAGCGGGGATTGTGCAATACCTGCACATCTGGTGAATCTATCTCATCTGGTCCGTTCTCCTGTAATTCGTGGCTAACAAGCGTGCTCTGTCTGCAGGCCACCACTGAGGGAAGGTTACGCAAACACGCATACTTTCATGTATTTGCTGACCTGACTGTGTTTTAGTGTTTTAAAAGTAATTGAGCCACCTTTATTTTTTCTTTTTTTTCCAATGAGCTCATGTGATTCACTTGGAAGCCCTAAAAGAGGGGTTTGATTTTAATCTCCGGAGGAGGAGGGAGGGTTGCTGCTTGCTTCAGGGGTTCTCCTCGCCTGACGCCAAACCGTCCGGTAGATTCCTTTTGTTTGCTGCCTGCGAGGAAACAAACACAAAGGTGTCCGTTTGAATTTATAGTGCACAAACTTAGTAGAGACAATTTGTACATGTCACTAATTTTTAGTTTTTTTTGAGTGAAGAAAGAGGCCATAAAGCCTCAGCGGGAGCGTTCGCCGAGGCTTTCCCTGCAGCTCGTTCTTCTTTGTTCAAGTATGTTGTTTACACTCGGAGCAGCTCAAGAGATGTGACCCATTCATAAATTTTCTTCCCTGCATGCGTAAAAGGAAGTGTGCCTCCCTATCCCCCCTCCTCCTCCCTCCTCCTCCTCTCCTGCCTCTCAGTCTTCTGCAGCGCTCTCCTTCAGTCTTCATTCACAAAAAAAAAACACTACAGTACTCCTGCTCTCCAAGTGGATACTCCAAATCCCTCCCTCCCTTCCTGTGTCTGTACAAACCAAGTCAGATTTCAAAATCAGAGCCCCCCTCCACCTCAAGCCCCCGCCTCTTTTCCCTTTTCCCTGTACCTCTTCAGGCACACACAGACACGCACACACCGTTCCAAGATGGGAACTAATCCAGTGATTTTTGGTTTGTGTAGGATGATTGTTTAGTTTTGGGCCTTGCAGTAATTATATAGGAAGCTGCGACTGTAGAATGTCGTTACAGTGTTTCAGTTTGGAGAAAAAGCAAGAGGAAGAACAGAGAGACGCTGTTAGAGCAGAGGAAGTGAAACTGAACTTAAAATTTTATCTAATCAGTCAGGTTTGAATTATATCTTCTTTGCACCGTTAGGTTGCAGAYGCTTGCGGATTTCATGCTTTGCAACAACTTCTTTTGAAAAAAATTCACCGTGTAATTTTGGTACTAGTAAAATGCCTTTTATTTGGTATCCTTCACCTTTATTTTTATTCACTATTTTCAACAGGTCAGGAACAAACAGTTTAAAAAGGTGTCCTGGAGTTTTTTAGCCAATATACACGTTCTAAATGCACAAACTCTGGTTTCAAAAACACAACTGTATGCAGACGACTTAGTAGTGTTTAGCACATGTTCAGTAATCAGSATCTGTCGAACTAAAGAGAACAAATTTGTCATCCCCTGATTTTAAGTTGCTTGGCAGTATACTGACTGTTTCTAATGAAGTTAAATATCTTAAATAGCCTGRTGAACTAGTGTCGTATGTTATACGTATGGACAACCAAATGTACTGTCTTGAAAACTTGTTCTGGTAAAGTAAAACTGAACTYGTTTGGATCATGTTGTACCTCACTGTACGGCACATTTATGGTGAAATTATAAAGTCATCCTTCAGTAAGTAGCTTACAATGAACCAAGACTTTTATTAAAGAAGCCCAGATGGACCAGTGCCAGGGAACTGTGTGTCTCTGCTGGGGCCAGTACATCGAAGGCTGTTTTTGTWTTTTCTGTCGACTCAATGAGTTTATTTGAGATTATAGAGTCTAAAGTTTAAAGCTGACTACTGAACTTTGGAAACACTGGTATGATTGTCTCCTGAAAGGGATAGGGTTAGTTATATTCTTTTATTTCTTTATTGTCTTTTTTAAGTATAATGGACCAAGAGTCTACAAATAAAGCCCATCATCAACAGTACAGTGTAACAAACAGTTCTGGCCTCGGTGCTCTCCAAACAACTGTTTTTATAAAAAAAAAAAAACCTAAATAAAGCCTCGAAGCACTTTACAGAACCGAATAAAAAGAGTGCAGGAGTTCCTGGAACTTTTGTCCAACAGTGTCCCGGCGTGTCTTTGAATCTGCACGCTCTGCTTTGTCAYGGATTCACAGCCTTTCTCTTCTTTCGGGCTGTTTTTCTGGGTCCGAACTGGCCCAATCAGGTCGTGTGTGGAACATCAGCCGATGGGCGAGCGGAGCCCTTCCACCATCCCCCTCCCTCCCCTCGCACATGCACGCAGCTCTGTGTCCTTCACTTTTTCCAAAATACAGCTGCTATGCAACCCAGTAAGCAAAAACATCCAGGCGACTCGTCTGCAGCCACTCTGTTTGTTGCAGCGTTTTGTTTAGTTTGGGAGTAAAACGGCTGATTTCTTTCACATGAATAGATGATTCCTTTTGACAACATCCCATCTAAACACATTTGGCCTGGCTCTCTCTCTCACACACACACACACACACACACACACACACACACACACACA